GCACGGGCTGTTTCTTGCAGCTTGGCTGTGTGGTGGTTAGAGTTGGCAGCTGTGTATGAGCTGGGGCAGTGCTTGCATTGGATGCAGAGCCTTAACCAAGTGGTAGGAGAAGGAGTATGGTGCTTGGGCAGTCAAGGTACGAAAGAGTATTCCTGAAGGATTCCCAAAAAGCTCAGGGAAGAGGACAGGGTGGCTCAGAGTCATTTCATTCTGTCCTTTCTGATTTTTGGACTGTATATTTATCATCCATTCAGAAAATAAAGATTAAAATACAGGGACCAGCATTTGGCTTGGTGGAAGGTACTGGACGCCCACGTGGCTTACTGTGGTAGAAGTCCCACATAAGTTAGCTTGAAACTCACACAGGTTGCATGTATGTGTGATGCCAAAATCCCAAGAGGAGAATAGAGAAGAAGGGATTGTGCCATGGCCAGCCCCCTGCGAAGTGATTCCTCACTTTGCCTCTCACTGCCTCTGTCTCTCTGGCGAGTGCATGTGCCCTATGGCAAAAAAAAAAAAAAAAAAAAAAAAAAATTTTAAAGTTTTAGGTTTTTATTATTATTATTATTATTATTAGGGGCCAGTACGTGGCATGGTGTTAAAGGATGCTAGACTTCCACAGAGCCGACCATGGTTCGAGTCTCAGACTTGGTGGCTTGCTGTCTCACTTTCCATTGATCTTTCCCTGCCTCTGTCCATCTCTGGTCAAATTTTAAAAATAATTGAATAAATAAATGGATGAATAAAGTTACATTAAATAAAGCTAAATTCTTAAAAAATTAAATGCTTCCTCCCCTATAAATGCATCCTTATCTCCAGGGAAAAAATGTGTTTTAAGAGTTAGAGGGGCCAGCAGATGGTGTGGTGGTTAAAGGTGCTGGACTCCCACATGGCAGAATGTGGTTCAAATCCTGGAACTGGTGGCTTGCTTTCTCTCTCTCTTTCTCCTCTCTCATTGCCTGGTCAAATTAAAATAAATAAATAATAAAATAATTAATAAAAAAAGAATTAAAGAAAAAAAGAGAGACCTGGATTTTCAAATTCCAGGTCTAAGTGACCTTCAGCAAGCAGTTAAACTCTAGTAGTGTGTTTTTCATTTACACAGTGGAGATATAAACTTCCTCATGTGGTACCTGTAAAGGTTCAATGGGATTGTTAACGTGGTTCCTGCCAAGGTTCTCAGAGAAGGTTCAAGCAGCGGTGGTAGTGTGGTCATACAAAGCAGGATTACCTGGAGTCTCTGGGCCTCTGTCAGACAACATAAATTAGATCTCCCTCTGGATTTTCATCCCTTACTGAGTTCTACATTAAAAAAGAGAAAAAAGACAGCTTTGCCTTGTCTTGAAGTAATAATGAAGCATTAAAGGTTGGATGGGAGTGCACTGGTAAAACACCATGCTCTGCAAGGTTGGCTCTCATGGGAAGGTCCTGAGTTTGCATCCAGAACCTCCCTGAACAGACTAAGTATGCAGAACTGCCCAAGATCTGGGAGTGGCTGAGGCTAGGCATGGACCATCCCATCGGGGAAGAAGTATTACCGTGGATTCGTTATTGTAGCCATTGCTATTGTATGCTAGTTTCATCTTTTCCCTGCCAGATCTTGACTTAACCTTTCTGTATTTGCAGTCCAACAAGGAGTTAACCAAAGACCGAGATTCCCTCAAGTTGGAGTTATATGAGAACAAGTAGGATGGGTGAAGGTGGGAGGGAGGCCTGGGAGTCTTACCGAGGGAAATATAGTAGGAGATGGGAGGGTGAGCATGCCAAAGTACAGAGCTTAGTGTAGTCCCAGCTAAGTGCCACCCAGGACTTTGATCCTAGGGTCCTCTCCAGTACCATGGTTCTGCTAAGGTTGTGGGTTGTTCACCTAAGTGAGTCTATGTGTTTTTTGCTCATTCCCTTCCACTGCCTCTGGTCATAGCAAAAGCAATGAAGACCTGAAGAAGCTGATCTCTGAACTAGAGGAGAAACTTCGACTGCTCACTGCCGAAAAGGCAGCTGGGCATCTCAGGATGGAGGAGCTCCAGAAGAAACTGGAGATGTCAGAGCTGTTGTTACAACAAGTGACAGAGAGCAGCCCCTGGGAGTGTGACCCCATTCAGCTGTGGCCGTGGTCTCCATGAATCACTGGGTGGTCTGCAGCCACAGTTAGAAAATTTAGATCCTTGATATGGTCCTGTCATAGGCTTCTTCTGAGATTGCTAAAAATCTACAAATAGGGACCCTGCTTAGCCCTGCAAAATCAGTCTTAGGGGTAGGGTATTGTACACATTTTTATTTCTCCCACTAGGGCCCCTTTGAGCACCCTCCTCCTATTTGATTCCCCTGCCCTCTACCTTTTCTGGACCTCCAACTCTTCTTGACGGGGGGAAGGAAAACACAGCAGGAGGGTCCACCGAGGTTTCTAGGGGGGAAGGGCTCCCTTCTACATCTCTGTCCCTCTTGTGACCTGAGTGTTGTCCCTACAAAAACACATGCACCTGTTGCCGGCAGCAGAAGGAACAAGGACTCTATCACCAACAGCTGGCTCACCTGGCAGCTCCATCCCAGGAAGACCCAGAGAGGGAGCCCGTTGCCTCTGGGACCAGGGGTGGCTGTGTGTCTAGGGAGAGCCACGAGGCCCTAGAGCCGGCCATGGTGCAGCTGTAGATGAGTGAGTCTGTACTAACATGGTGCACAAAGGGTGGGCATGGGGCGAGTTGCTGCTGAGACCTGACACTGTTTCTGTGGCTCCAGAGCCACTTCCTGCAGTGTATGAAGGAGAAGGGAGACCTTGAACATCGTATGAGTGAATTAGAGTGCCGCTTCCACCTGTACTGTGGAGAAACCAACACCATCAGTGAGCTAGGATGCCAGGGCCCATGGCCAGAGAGCTGCACAGTGGTGGGTGGGGAAAGCACCTGCTTCCTAACCTGACACATGCCTGCTGGCCCTTCTGCCCTCAGTCCCTACAGGACAGTACAATGCCCTGCAGCACAACCAGGATGCAACCCTGAAGGCATGTAGCCAGGAGAACACGGATTACATCAGCTGGCTGGAGCACAACCAAGGGGAGATGGAGGTAGGGCCATGAACTTCTCTGTGGGTGAGCCGGGCAGGGCGTGCTCAGGAGAGGGGCTGGATGCTGAGCACCTTCTCTGTGGGTGAGGCCTGACC